CATACAAACGACTCATTCACGACATAAACATCACAAACGACCGAAAAAGAACGACCTAACTTTACCGACAGATCGAAACAGACCAATCACGACCGATTACGCCAAGGGAGTAGGTGTTAAGTGGAAAAATGGGCAACGGGGGAGAGGGAGGGGAAGATACTTTTTTTCCTTCTCCTCCCTCTCCCCCGTTGCCCATTTTTCCACTTAACACCTACTCCCTCAGCAAATATTTCCTCGCCCCAGTTACCAAATCTAAGATGGCGGCCTAATACGAAAATGTGCACTCGTGCGCCCAAAATACGCCGGCACTGCAGGCTATCTACTGACAACAATCATTCACTTGACTCTGATGATGACTTCCGCACAGGTTGTCGAAACGTCAGTCACTACCATCGACAACAGTCCTTCTCGGGACTACACTCACCCGGACGATCAGACTTCACCTTCACATAAACTCGTAATTGTAGCCCTAAATCATTCGGGTTCTTTTGGCAATCATTTTTTTATGTGTTAGAAAAAAATAAAAATGTTATTCACCAGCATAGGTCGGTCCGTATTGGGAAAAACTGTGGCCTCGGGCGGTATCCAAGACCTCAGGCACAGTTCTTCCCAATACGGACCTCCCGGCTGGTGAAATAACTGATAGATTCAAACTTGACTTCGTTTTATTTTTAACCTCACGTTACGTCGTTATGTCAGAACAGAGCTCTCATTCTGAATAATGAAAAGGTTAGATTACTCGGTTAAATTGAAGGGTAAAATTAAGTCGTAAATTACTGTCACACAAACCACTTTCAGGTGTAATGGTGAATGGTGAAGTGGAAGTTCTTCTTACTACCGTGCTGAATTTCTCTTTTATTTTACAACCAATGCATGCATTTATTTACCATCAAATTACTCACCTTGAATCGTTTATTGAGGTAAATTTTTCAGACCAACCAATCACTAAGTTGTTTTGTTTCCAGACCCCTGATTCCTTTGGCTCAATGTTGGAGCTATCCTGGAAAGGTACTAAACCCGTGGATTTGGGAGGAGGATTTACGCGGAAGTTCCTACAGGATGGAGATGAAGTTATTATGACGGGATATTGTCAAGGCAATGGCTACAGAGTTGGGTTTGGAGAATGCAGAAGTAAAATATTACCCGCCAAATGAGTATAACAATGAATAAAGTCACAGAGACTAAAACTGCATGGGGAGGAGAGAAAGAGTTAGGAAAGGGGCGAAGCTTTTTGGTGAAAACAAATAAACTAAACGTTTCTTAATGTGAATGACTTTTGTTTGTTTGGAGTGTTGATTTCTCTTTTCGAGAATTACAAAAACCATTTTATTGCCTGTGACATGAGTTTAACCTTCTTAATCGTTCTAGGGTTAAAATATACTGAACCTGTCGTCTCTTATACAAAAGGTCTTTAACCTCGGGCTTAGTACGGCTCATAAAATACCTGGAAAGTCGTGCAATTCTGGATCATTACCTAAGCGTGGGAAATGGAAAATGAACGACTATGATTTTATTTTCACCGCTGTTTAAGTAGTGTTCCTCACTGCGAAGATCGCTCTTACACTAATTTCTTTAACCGCAATTCATATAGATGATTTTCATATCTTACAAGCGTTGACTCATCACTTCAAGGGTTATAATTTGGATATATCAACAAAGTTGAAATGGTAAATTGGCCACCGTAATGATTACAAAAGCTGACGTTTCGAGCGTTAGCCCTTCGTCGGAGCGAAAAGAGGAATTGTGGGTTGTGTGTGCTTTTAAAGGCAGAAAGTGGAGCTACGTTATTGGTGGGTGCATTGCAACGAGAAAAACATGAATAAATTAGTGGAATGAAAAGCGTTCATTGATCCCTGTGGGATTGAGACAGCCGGTTTGAAAGATGAGCTTTTGTTCAAGATTTTTACGGCTTTCCGTGTCACCTAAGTGCAAGGAAAGACCGCAGATTGCCATATGTTGCTTAGAATGATTAGGTAAATTAAAATGTCTAGCGACTGGTTTAGATGTGTCCTTGTCATTCCTTTCCACGTCTCGAAGGTGTTCTCGGAATCGGTCACCTAGTCTTCTGCCTGTTTCGCCGATGTATATCTTTTTGCAATAAGTGCAAGTTATGCAATAGATTACATTAGCGGAGGTGCACGTGAAGTGATCGGTGATCTTAATGGATCGTTTAGGTCCCGATATTTTATCAGTGTTGTGAATGAAAGGACACGTTTTGCATCGTGCACGAGCGCATTTAAAAGTGCCTGGTTGCTCATTAGTCTGAAAAGAACTTCTGACCAAAAAATTGCCTAAGTTTTTGTCGCGTTTGAATGAAATGAGCGGAGGCTGCGAAAAGATAGTGC